AATTTAAATTGTTTTGATTAATTATATATCTACATTTGGGGTTGTTTGTTTACCTTTTAATAGTTTCATTAAGAGACATCTTTTGAATCGTTAAGAGGTGAATGATTTTGTATCTTAGGTCTCCTTTAACCATTCAGCACCCTAATTTGAATAATTATCCAACAATTATATTTCAATTTGCACTATATTATAAGGGTCTCTTAATTATTTTGACCACTTAATCATTTTGTACCAAACCATTCAACAATTGTCAAACAGCTTTACAACTGTTACATAATCATCCTTTACCCAAACCTTATTAAAACTCTGCACTATGTAGATAACCTACTCATTTTATTAAAGAATATGTAGTGTAAAAGTAAGGTGATATTTATTTTTTAAGAGGTGTTAAAGTCTGAAGTTTTATTTCACTTTTGATTTATAAGAGGTGGTGGTGATGTATGAAATCTAAATCAATAAGACTGTTTGTTTTTGTAAAGTGATAAATGTTTGAATTCGTTTAAATTGTCTATTTTACTCATAAAAATTATATTGAATTTATAAATAAAATTTATACAATTTCACATATTTATTCATCATCATCATGAATTTTACATCTAAATTATATAATTAACATTTATTTAAACGATTAAAATCCTATTAAAATACATCAATTGACGGACGTGAGGATTTGATTTGGTAAAGATTGACTGAGAGAAATGATCGATTAAGGTTAATCGATTGAGAAATATCGTTGTTAAAGGTTTGAAAAATAATAAGAGACAAATAAAAAGTTGGTTTACCTCTTACCAAATAAGAGAACAATAAGACATAAGTGTCTTTGAAAAATTGAAAAAAATAAACAAACAGTCTGAATGACCTTACCTCTTAACGAATCAGACATAAGAGACTAACAAGAACTTTTTTCTATAAAAACAAACAAAGTCTGAGAAATCTGCATTATACATCCACTTATTATTGTCATCATTATCTTTATTCTTTTTATTTTTCGTAAATGTTTGTGTCAGCTTACGAGTAGGATCTTAGAAAACAACCATAAACAAGACTTGAATCGGATCTCCAAAAACTGAAGACTTATCAGCAGTCGAGCTAACCAGATAAAATTATATCTATCAGATGATTATTATATTTTGGGTTTCAAGAATGATAATTCCACTTGTTTTTTAGGCCAACAAACGTAGGCACTAAAAAAGTCAGTCCATGACGTTATTAATAACTAATAACTGGAATCATCATTGAAACATTGACCATAATCAGTTATTATATATATTATAACGGACAAGCAGCTGAGGAATTGAATCATAAATCTTTTGAAATCTTGTTTTTAGTTTGTATAATGTTTTAAATTCGATATTTGCTAGATGTTTATCAAGATCATATTTGTTTATTAAAAGACATAAGAAATGGGCCACAACGTTGGTTTTCGAAGCCACAAGAGTGGTGTCTGATTGGTTTTGAGCTTGAGCTTCAAAGGTTAAAAGTGTCTGAAGATTCCAGGTCCAAACCCAAAGAGGAATAAAAATCCCCTTATGGTCACGGAGGTTCAAATACGGTGACTCCAGGTTATCCGTAAAGCAGATGGTTGTCCTGGAATTAATCGGCTTGCATAGCGAGTTAGATGAAGGGAATAAAAGAAAAAGATATAATTTTGTATGTTTTTGAGCACGAAAGGAAAAAAAAAATGTCATTTTTATAAATATATCATTTGAAAATATATCATTTTCTCTTATGGTTTTTTGTTTTCTTGAAGTTGTGATTGGAAAAAAAACCATCTCGTCAAACTATGAAATTCCCTCAAGATCGAAAAACTACATTGCATGAAAAAATAATGTAATTTAACTTGATTCCTATTTTTTTTAGTGACGTACTTTCAAAACTTTCATTTTGGTACATAATATGTAAAGTTTTAAACATTTAAATATCCGGATAACCGGTTGAAGCATTAACCAGTAACCATGTTGATGTGACGAGTGATGAGATGAAAATGGATTGAATAGCAAATAATATTGAGTTAGATACCACATCACTCGTCACATTAGCATGGTAACCGGTTAATGATTCAACCGGTTACCCGAGTACTTAAATATTTAAAACGTTACATCTTAGATACCAAAATGAAAGTTTTGAAAGTACGTTACCCAAAGTAAAAATCAAGTTAAAATACGTTACTTTTTCATGCAATTTCCCCGAAAATATATAACTTTGTCATATTAGGTACATATTGCGTCAAATCTATATGGATAATATTTTATATGTTTCCAACCTAAGCAGCTTTGTTTTTCAAAAAAACAAACAAAGCCTTAATAAACAATGTATTTGAAAGAAATATTAGAAGTAATCCCATTGAGGTGAGTTTTCATTAATTAAAAGCTGATACGATTTGAAAAATCTGGTATTTTAGTTCTTATGATTAAGACAAATTAAGACATTTTAAATTTGAATGATTTAGTAAAAAACAGATACTAAGGTGGCGTTTGTTTTTTAAGAGGTGCTTAAGTCTGAAGTCTGAATTCACTTCTGAATTTTAAGAGGTGGTGCTGAAGTCTGAAATCTGAATCAGTCAGACTGTTTGTTTTTACGTCTGAAATCTGAATCATTGAAATATAGGCTTTCTTTGCAAGCATTGGAAGCTCTAAAAGCAATTAAGAGGTTTTAAGTGAAAATGTTACCTCTAAATAATTCAGACATAATCAGAGCTTTTAAGCTCTTAATTGAAAAAAAAAAACAAACACACTTAATACCCTAAGGTCTGACCGATTCAGACATAAGAGGGTATTAAGTGCTTTTTAGGTAAAAACAAACAGGGCCTAAATCCACATCTAAAATAAAAATAAAAATAAAAATAAAAAAGAGAATGAATTTGTTTTTTTTAAATTATTTTACAATCAACATAATAAGAAGACAAATTAGAATAAATCAATATATTTAAATGACGAATAATAATAAGAATAATCTCAATTAAATACAGCGTGCACCGCACGTTATTCTTCCCTAGTTCTAATTAAAAAGGGTATTGATATCTTTTAATTAAGGTCCTTATCCATAACCGATTATCCATCCCAATCAAACTGGGTGTTTGATTTGTTTTCCTAGGTAACTTGATTATTCGTATCTAATCTCATAAGAAACATACTAGATGAATATTATTATAATCACATGTGAATGTTGACAACTACATGTATAAAATTTATTGGTTATTATAAACTCACTTCTTTAATATCACATACGATAACGTATTATAAATTATTACTTGTTAATCACATGTGATTATTTTTATATATAAGATAATGTAGTAGATGTGAATGTTTATCATTTGTTATGATTGACATGATATTCATAAAATATATAACATATGGAATGGTTCTATATCTTCATCCACATTGCCATCAAGAAACAAGTTATCCATGTTTTTGCATCAAAGTCTACAGTTGCATAGTATCTCATCGTATCTACACCAAATTCCTCATCTATCCCATTCACGTCAAATTCCTCATATGTGATGTAATCACCATCCTGACTATCACTTGGTTCCTGTTGATCTTCATCTACTTGTAGCTCTGTTTCATCACCCCAAAATGGATCAAAGTCATCAAACCCAGCCGTTGTCTCTGCTTGACCCACCCTCCCCCTATATCTGCCTGACCTACCCTATCCCCTGTCTTTGCTTGACCCAACCTATCCTCTGTCTCTGCTTCTATATTCATTTTTGTTTCAACCAAACTAGGACATGCCTCTACTTGATCATCTACTTATACATGAAAGTTTTATAGTTATTATGGTCAAATAAGATCCATTTACTCTTAAACAAACAAAACGAATGAACAAACCCTATTTTGTGTACCATGAAGATTTGACAACAAACTACCACCATCATACAAACATCAAGAAGTCATTTACAAACCAAACCCATTAACAAACTATAACCAAAATATATATATATTTTTTTGAATTTGTGCTTCACCAACAGTAAAAGGAAAACCATTTATGCTAATCATAAACTTCATATGGATCAAATGCATCAATGGTGGTTCAAATGCGGTGACTCTGGGCTATCTACGAAGTAGGTGGTCGTACTGGGATTAGTCGGCTTGCATAGCGGGTTGGATATCTAGGTTAATAAAAAAAACTTGATGTTGGACCCATGTGTGTAAAACCAAGTTTTCGGGAGCATGTGTTGGGGAAGATGAAGAGGGTAAACAATAGGGACGAGAATGAAAGATCAAGGGTCTTGGTAGGTTATATGGAGTTCCATCTGATTAAAAGCGGAGGGAAACCTTAAAAAGACAACTTTGCCCTCATCAATTATGAGGTTAATGGGGACCAAATCCAAACAAATTGGAATTACATGGACCAATGTGTTACAAAAATGCAAACTCTAGGGATATCTTGGAATAAACAAATTATGCAGAGCAAATCCAAACAAATTGGAAATACATATACCAAATATATAATTTACTCTCTCTCTCTCTCTCACACACACACACACATATAGAGAGAGATGTGCAAGATAAAAGGAAAAGACAATCAATTTGCAAGAAGACGAAAAGTTTCAAGATCAAATATAATTATAGAGAAAAATCACATATGATACAACATTTTCAAAAGGACGTGGGCGATTTGGCCAACGCAACATGTTCGTATCATATGTGGTTAGGTGTTTTATATCAAATGTGATCTTCAAATTTCTCGCATTATCGTAAATTGACCGTCTTCTCGTTTGAACACACCTATATATGTATATCTGTGCGTCTGTATGCATGTATATGATACAAACCACAAATCAAATACAAACTCATTAAACGTTACAAATCGTGAAAACTAGTTTTTATGTATTATTTGATAAATAAAACACCAAATGTGAAAACCAACCAAAACCATCCCATAAATTTGCTTTTAAGCCATGATACAAAAAGGAAAAACACGTGGCTGATTGTGAATCGTTAGATGCATCAAACGGGTGAGATACATCCATATATAAGATATACAGGTCCTTCTCTTTCATCCTTGGAATGATTCCTTTTTCTTCTGTGCTGAAAGAGCAGAATAAATCGTAGACCCACCCAATTAATCTTCAGTTCTTCATCGCATTTAATCAGGTAAAACTCTCCAAAGCACAATTGATCGCTTCTTTCCTGTTGACGCTTTTAGTTTTCTTTAATCGAATCTAGGTCATAATTGCAAACATCATTGTAAAAATCCGTCATATTCGTCTTTCTTTTATCGTTTATCTAGCTCTGTAGCTCTTCTGATTGCATAAAATCGTATGTAAAAATTCAATTTGATAATTGATCGGTTTTATGAACCCCATTTCAAAACAAAGGATATTCTAGACAATTGGTTTTACAAACCCTAGATTAGTACTTCTAAATACAAATTTGATCTGGGACTTGCTTCGAATTGTGTTTGCAAACATTTTCCGTAAGATGTGTTTTATAAGATTTCATTTGATTTTCATTTTTTTCTAACAAATTGCTTAGAATCACCAAAGATTTGAAGTTGAAAAGTTAAAGCTTCATGTTGGTTATGTATGTTTCGTATTATGTAGGGAAGACTACAAGGATGATGAGTGCAACCATCAGGCGGAAAGCTTTGTCTCTGTGCTCATCTGCGCTGGCAAATAATGTATGTATGCTTGATCGTTTCTTCAAATGGAGGATGATTTCATTCTTTTTCTTCACTTCTTCAAGACAATCTTTCACCTTTTTTTAACTTGCATGAACTTTTTATATCCTGTTTTGGCTTTTGATTTGGTTCAATAGAGTAATAATGGTTAAAAAGAAAGATGATGGTAGTATACTAGGGGCATACTCCAAGATTTGCACATATTATCTCAAGTAATCTCTCTAATACTTGAATCATGGTTAAGAACAGTGAGGTCAGATTGTCTAGTTGGAGTTTGTCACTTTTAGACCATACATAGCGTGCATTGTTCGATGTGAATGTCTATTTGCAAACAGGGTGGAGCCAGGATTTAAGTTTAGCAGGGCTTCATTCAAACTTCATCTCGCACTTCAGACTCGTAATCCATAGTTCTAATTTGTAATCCAACCTCTGTGGAAGTTTGGTTAAGCTGATTTCTCTAAATGCACAATTGTTTTCCTCTTTGTTAAACACTTATACATAACGATTAATCATAAAAAACAAATTTTAAGTGATTAATCAATATAAAACACAACAATAGGGATCAATGAAACAATTGAAAACCTAAGAAATCAATTTACAGTCACATGAATCACAAATGGTCAACAAGAGAAATTAAAATAAGCCAGGTATACGGGCTAGAGCCGAGAATCACTTTATAAAAATTCTGGTAAAAACATTTGTGATCTGTTCTGATTTTTGATATAATATTTTTTTATCGTCAAATGTTTGGAAACAAAATGAAAATGCTAGACAATGTAAATCTTAAATATAAAAAAGAAAATTACTCATAAAATACAATAAAAGATGAAAAAGAACAGGAATAATATAAGAAAAAACCACATAAAGGATTGAACCCATGACTGCTTGTTTGTTATAATCACGTCCTACCAACTATCAAGTAAGATATATTGATTTATGTTGGGTTTTGTATATGCTCAACTCTGCTGATTCTTTTTGGGATGTTTTCGCGCATGCGCATATATATATATATATACATATACATATATATATATATACACACATATATATATATATACACACACATATATATATATACACACACATATATATATATACACACATATATATATATATGATGTGTATGCTTATGTAATATATATTTGCGTGGCCTGTGTGCATAATTGACCTGTTTGTGCTCCAATATAATCAGTTTAAGTTGTTAATAGGGCATTGTACAATCATTGGAGAGGGTCCAACCTGCATTAGCAGGATCTGCAGCACCAGGATATATTGCTGGTATCCCGATGTTTGAGGTAGTTCAATTATCAGTTTTTTATTTGCTAGTGCTTATGTTTATTATGATCAAAATGTATGGCTCTGAATTCTGGCCTTCCCTTTTGAAGTGAGTAGCAAAAAAGGTCATTGTCATACTGATGACTTATATCTTGTACCATTTCATGAGAAATGTTAAACCTTTTCTCCAAGTATTTAGTTAAGAAGGCCAATGTCATACTGATGACTTGTAACTTGTACCATTTTATGCGAAAAATCTAACCTTTTCACTGAGTACTGAACGTACTGCTCTGCAAATGCTAAATTGATATGGGTTTTAACTTTCAGGGAAGTTTACAAAGTCAATTGACTTTTACAGCATGCCCTACAACTAGGGTTATATTAGTGGTAATTGCAGCTAAATATGCGTCTGCTTTTGCATTTCTACTTTGTGTAAAAGTCAAAATGCTAATCCATTAGGAGGCTTGACATTGCTGTTTTTTGGGTGCTTCTATGTTGTTGCATATCAAGTCACTTGGTGCCTTGAGGCTTAACCCTCTTTATGCGTCTGCGTGCATGTCTATATCTGTATATTTATATAGACATTGTGCTCATCTAGATAGATGTTTTGACTTCAGAAGTAGTATTTGTTAAATCTATATATGTACATAGATTTTTGGATCTATTGTGGACCTTACGAGGTCTAAGACCTATAAAATTACTTGTTGATATCATGTGCAATTTACTAGGCATTTGGAAGGGGATCAAAACTAATACCGGAATTTCATCAAGGTATGCTTACTTCCACATAACTGTCCATTTTCCACTCTGAAAAATTACAAATATGTTAACATATTGAAAATATATGACTTGTACGTTTACAGGTGCCCCTGTATATTCAAAGTCGATGAGGTAAAATATACTCTCTCCTTCAGCAACACAAAACTGAAGGATATATTTATTTCATTGTTCATTTTTCTTTTTGAACTAGCACTCAACTAACCTTTTTTTACAATGATCCTGTGGCACAGGGATGTTGCATCGTCGCTTAAAGCAGATTTTCCGACCCAGAAGTGGATTAGATCGTTTTCTTCATATAGTGGTATGCTCTTGATTGTCTCAACAATACTCATCATGACCTGTGCAAGTTTATGAAAATTTATATTCAAGTTCAACGTAATTTTGTTGGTGTCAGTTGCCCCTTTTAATGGAGATCCATTACTGATTACATTCTTGACAGAATATTTTTTTGAAGAGTTGGTGTTTTTACAATCAAACTTCTTTTGTTCAGTTTGTGTGATCAATTTCTGTAAGTTTTTTGACACTCTTCGTGCAATTATCTGGGAACAGAACCTGCTGTTCGTGGTGATATCAATGAACCAATTGCCCAAATTCAAACCAATAAGGTAATTAATTTTATATCATGTCCAGCATCTTTGTGATCAGATGCATTTTCATTATTCATGATTTTCATTAATCATGTGTGTGTTGCAAAACCTGAAGCTGGTGTTATTATGGAAGTAAGACTGTCTGGAGGAATGATAGTTGTAGTTCAAAATGCTTATACTTCCTTAGGGGCAAGTTCACTTGAGAAAAGTAAATATCTTGAGAACCGTGAGAACCAACTATTAATGAATTACTCATGATGAATATCCTGGTAGATATTCATGATGAATATCCTGGTAGACATTCATGATGAATATCATGAATAATGAAAATGCATGATATTCATGAATATTTAGGTATATTCATCATGAATCGTTGGAGGTTCTCAAAATATTTACGGTTTTTAAATGAACTTTCTCTTACTTTCTTGATCCCCCTTGTCTTTGGCTTGCAGTCAAAACAGACAAGATAAGAATTGACTAGTTTTCCCGATTTCAAAAAAAAAAGTGATGACCATTAACTAGGTTTAAGTATAGAAGTACTAGAATATCATACAAAGTGGGTGTTAAAAATGTGTTTTCTTGAAGGGTATTGCAGCTCCAGTCATTCAAGATGCTGTGAAAATGAACATTGCTGAAATACAGAAGACATTCAACAGCTCAACCAAAAAGGCACACAATCGCCCTGCATATTTCACCGTATCTGGTGCTGCGATCGGAAGTACTTTAAGTACTCCCATTGTAAATGCTCCACAGGTAGGGTGCCTGCCTAAACTTTTGTGTTTGAATTACTGAACTGAATGCTCAGCCATTTTTATCGAGTTGTAGCTCTACTTTGTCAACCGATGATTGCTTGCCAAGTCCAATCAGTTACATGCAAAATTTGACAGAATCGGGCTATATACGTGTAGAACAGTATGATACACTTCCTCCATCACATGAAATTTGCAGGGTTTGACTTGGTAAGAAGGAGAGTTAAGGTGAGAAGCGTAAGAAGGGATCTCTACCCTTGGATGCATATTAGGATGAGATGCACCGAGATGCATCTGATCAAACCCATATCAAGTGCGATTCATGGGTGGGTTTGAGATTGAAGGTGATCAAGGGTCCAGATCCCTTCTTATGCTTCTCACCTTAAACATTCCTTCTCACACGATCCTTCGCCTTCTCCTAAAACCCTGAAAAACAATTCTTTTTTATAAATATGGATTATGGAGACTCTTTTATATGTTTGTATTTTATGATCCAGTTATGTGTTCTTGAAGATTTTGAACTAATCTCTTTTAATGATTGTAGGCGGCTAAACTGGGCATGGGTTCAACGGTCTCTTCAACTTTCCTACCGAATCTTGCTCTATTCTGGCATATAAATAACGGGATTGAAGAGATTCTGGCAGATTATGTTCATCACGAAATGACTCGCAGCTTGGTGTTGGTGTTAATGAGACTCTTCCTTATAGTTGCAGCAAAGGATGTTTTCGTCGCTACAAATTAAACCAACCCCCTTTCGGTGTCATCCATAGATTTGCAAAAAGGTCGTCTTTTGCTTGAAAAAAAGCCGAATAAAGATTGGTCCTAGAAGTTAAGGACTCTTCTTGGGCTACAATTATCAGTTTTGAGAATTTAGTTGATGGAATGTTTGATTGTTTTATTCTCCATTTCAAGGTTTGCCTTTTGGTTTTCCAGGCTAAGATGCCTTTTATCAGTGGTATTCACATAAACTATCTTTATACGCTCTGAGGTGGAGGTCAGGTATACATGCATCATATTTAGACCCCATTTTTAGGGTACATGTTAGGTTTGTATACATCATATCTGGATCCTATTTCAGGGTAGAGGTCATATCTGTGTACATTATATCTCAAATCTCAAATGCCTCCTTTTGATGTAGAGGTCAGGTACGTGTACATCATATCCCTCTATACCCGGTTTTGGGATAGAGGTTAGATATGTGTACATCATATCCCTGTAAACCCTACCCTTATGTGAGATATACTTGTTTCGTTTGATCAAGCTTGACTTGGTCACTTGGTCTTAGTCGAACTAAAACGTGTTCACTCAACCAGACGGTGACCAAGCCATTTTGACAAGTTAGATCAAATAAGTCTACCGCGACAACCACCTTGACCTAGGTCAAGTTCTATTTAGTCAAATTGACCTTGCTCAAGGCTCGACCTAACTAAGGGGCTATTGACCTAAATGCTTATCCAATAAAATTTAACACTCTAACTTACTTTATCGGGTAAGATTGTAATTCGTCAAAATGGTATTGTATCAAACAATTTACCTGGTAAGTGTCTACTGGGTAAGAGTCGTGTCGACATCCTCACTTACCAGGTACGACTCTCTTTTCTTATCATCGTTTTTACCGGGTAAGATTCTCAATCCTTTCTATGTTAATCTGACAAGGTAAATGACCCGATAAATGTTTGGTATATGGTCCCTAATATATCCTCAACCCATCATACAATAAGCGATAATTTTTAAAAGAAGTGTATTTTTTTTATTAACTTGGATATCCATCCCGCTATGCGATGCGAGCCGACTAATCCTAGTGCGACCATCTGCTTTGCAGATAGCCCGGAGTCACCGCATTTGAACCCCCGTGGTCACAAGGGGATTTTTATTCCTCATTCGATTTGAACCTGGGACCTTCAGGTACTTTTGACTTTTGGAGTCAAGCTCAATCCAATCAGGTACCACCCTTGTGGTTAAAGAAGTGTATTTTTTAACAATCAAAATGTAAGCTCCGTCTGACTTCCGAGTCTTAACTGTCACTTGTATATATTATAGCACAACTTTGACCAAAGTGTCTTTGGTCTAACGGTATGTGAGTCCTTAACCTCCTAAGAGGTCAATGGCTCAAACATCACCAAATGTAAGGAGGGTGTATGAGTTTATTTGTTCTATTTGCCGTATATAAATATTACTTTGAGGAAAGTTTTTGATCATTTTCCGCCTACTCCAAAGATATGATTTTTATGACGTTTTCACAACATTTTCCAGAAAGTGTCCTACATAAACAGTAGCTAGTGTAACAGATTTCACGACACACACAAACAGTGGTTAGAACCTTCCATTGGTTTCCGAGTTAAAGACGTTAAAAGTAGGGCAAATTGCATGAAAAGATAACGTACTTTGTCTTCATTCCTATTTTGGGTAACACTACCTAAGATGTAAAATTTCAACATCTAACATGATCGAACCGGTTACCCAAGTACTTAAATGTTTGGAACTTTACATCTTAGGTACCAAAACGAAAGTTTTTGAAAGTACGTTATCCAAAATAGGAATCAAGGTACGTTACCGGTTGCTTCGTCCCTAAAAAAAAGAAACCTTTGAACCAAATTCATTGTGATTTCAAGAATCCATTGTCACAAAACTGCGACCCAACAATTCCTTGTGCAGAATACACGAAGCAAAATGGATAAAAATGGTTTCGAAACTGTCAACTTTGCTGTGCAACGACCACCTAAAACGCAGGCAACACGAGAAAAACGAATAAAAGAAAGGATTTTATACATCCGATTTTGCCAAAAGCCTCGGCGATCGTCTCTCTTCCATTAATGTTGATAAACGGCATACAAAAAAGGTCAGGCGAAACCGTGATCTATATAGTTGTATCCATCGGGTAGCAACCAAGAACACGGATAAACCTTGCGAATTCCTAAAAAAACATCAAACAGAAGATGTTAACAAATTTTAAGTCTTTGTAGAAGATCGAGGTAGAGGTCATGTTTGCATACATCTTACCCCCTTAGGTGGGACCCCACCTCTAGGACAAACATATTGGGCTCGTTTCGTTTTGTTTGGTTTAGCAAATGATTTTAGTACTAAATATCCTATCTGGAGGTACGGTCTGGGGTGGGATGTAGTCAAACATGTTCTCTACCCTAAAGAGTAGGGCAGCTGTTTCCGTGAAGACTATATTGAACTTTCAGTAGCAAATACATGACTTAAATCATCATTTTAAGATAGTCTTTGACTAATAAGTAAATAACTAAAGTACCCAAACGAATCCAACATATCCCGCGTGGAGGGTAGGATATATGCAGACCTGTCCTCTACCCAAAAGAGTAAGCGCTTACCAAGTCAAATTACCTCACCGGATGAATATGGTACGGACCAAGAATCTTACCCGGTAAAAGCGAGACAAGGACCAAGAGTCTTACCCGGTAAGTGAGAGCGACGACTCTTACCACGGTAAGCGCTTACCGATGTCGTTTTTGGTGTACTAAAATCTTATCCAATAAGTAAACAGTAGTGTTAAATTTTACTGGAAAGCAATTACCGGGTAAGTATTTGGTAAACAGCCCCTAAAACTCTTTACAAGTCAGGAGTTTTTTCTAAAACTTTTCCTAGGAGTAGAGGTAAAGGCATCATACATGCTACCCTCCCCAGACGCCTACTCTGTATGGGTTTCACTGGGTTTGTTTGGTTTATATTACGAAGTACGTACCTGTAGATGTCCAAGAGCATATTGGGCACGAGGTTCAGCCATTGAAGCTTCAAAGTCGATGTAAAATAGGTAGTCAAAGTACCTGCGGAAGTTGGACGTGACACTTTAATATCATTCCATTTGTTGCTATAACTTTCAGCTTCGTAAACAATAGGGGTACACTACAAACAACTGGCTTTATAGGACGTCAAATATGTCTAAATGTCCTAATAAACAACTTTTATAGGACTAAGGGGTTGTTTGGTTGGTTTTCCATTAAGTTCTGTATAGATAAGGCTGTCTGTGTGGATTAAGAGGTATTTGTTTGAGAGGGTTTTTTCATAGATGGAAGGAATGTGTTTTTTAATTGGGATGACAGTTACGGAAAAAAACTTGGCTTTCTACATAAAGCTCCCCACTAGAAGCTTACTGAATAAGCCACTTTCTGAATCATTAAGCCACTCCATACAGTCATGTATAGTGACCGAATAAGTTGTGAGTCCCATTAAGCTCATTAAGCTGCTAACAAACAAGCCCTAAGTTTATAGGACCAAAAAATTCCTATATAAATGTGTTACAATAAGTTGGTAGCATGCTTTTGGGCGTTCTAACAAGTTTTTTAGGGCACTTTTGAGACAAAACGCATATTAATCTTTTTATATGACGATATTTGAAAAAGTGTCTTGTAAAAGATGTGTTTCTATAACACCTCTGAAAAGTGTCATGTGAAGTGTTTTAATAACGTGATCATAACCACATGCACTTAAACTTGGTGGGCTACCGCTTATTCGCTTAGTCAGAGAAAATGTTTGTCGGAAAGACGAGTGTCTTTTGCTGTTTCAACATAAACACGAAGTTCGATTTCGTGAGAAATAACACTCACTTGGCGCTCCCTTTGTTGCTATCGTCAACAATCCGAAGTGGGCGCTTCCTCTGGGGCCGGCTCTCGATCTTTCAAAGGATTTGGAGGCAAAAACGTTATCAAATGCATGTTTCTAGTAAATAAAGCTCGTAAATAAAGGAGCGAAAAAGAGCAATGACCTTTGATAAGTTGATCTCCCTTAGCGCAAACACAGCTAATGCTTTGAATAATACCCCCGGGCCTTCTTCTAACGTAAATACAATGCTCGTCTTCAAACAAAAAATAGAAATAACGTCGGTGTTGTTTATATGCTTCAAGAACTTGGTTTGAAACCAAAGGGCCTTTGGCCTAGTGGTATCGTAGCCCTTGGCCTAGTGGTATCGTAGCCCTTGGCCTTCTAGGAGGTCAGGAGTTCAAACCTCACCATAGGTGAGGAGGGTGTGTGAGTTTATTTGTTGCATTTGCCGTATATAAATGTTATATACTTCAAAAAAAAACTTGGTTTGAAAGGTAAAGGAGCAAAATGCATCAAAACGTTGTAATCAAGTTTTAAAGGAAAGATTTTTACCTTATAGGGCTTGTCGGGTCCCGGGATTATAGGTTCTCTTGCTAGTATTAGAAAACGAGTAACATTATCTAAATCATCCTGAATAAAGAAATAAACCGATAATAGGAGAAAAGCGTTAATTAATGAAACACGAGACACGTATAATTGAAAACGTAAAGATATAATAACACCTGGATTGTCTGCGCTAGAATGTCTAGCCCATAGATTTCCGCAGCTCGAGAACTTGCAACGGCTCCGGTGTCTCGTATGCCTTCAGAGGCTACAATCTATAACAACTCCAAACGTAAATCTCATATATAGAAATGAAACGCAATATTCTAAGGTATCCCACGTAGAGGTAAGGTCTGAGGGGGTATGACGTAAGCAGACTTATGTTTCTGCGATATTTTACTCACTCTGTCCTAAAATAAATGTCCACGATGAAAAGGCATACAGTTTTAGGAATGTGTAATTATTATACCTTTTAATTAATAAAATGACAATTTTACCCTTAATAATAGAGGGAGTAATGAATTTTTCCCTCTCATATTAAGGGTAGCATTGGAAAGTAGGCACTTATTTTTGAAGGTGGACACTTATCTTGGGACAAACTAAGGGGCTCTTTGGTTGGTTTTCCATTAAGTCTTGTATGGATAAAGCTGTCTATGTGGATTAATCTGTCTGTATAGATTGGGAATATTTTTGTTTGGGAAGGTTTTCTCATAGATGGATGGCACATGTTTTTTAATTGGGAGGACATGTTCAAAAAAAACTTGGCTTTCTGCATAAAGCTCCCCCTAGAAACTTACTGAATAAGCCACTTTCTATATCATTAAGCCACTGCCAAACAGTCAAATATAGCTGACAGAATAAGCTGTGGGTCCATTAAGCTGCTACAGACTGCTCCTAACGTAGAAATATAGACACGTACCTGAGCTGCACCAGCAGAATCTTCGGCGCTAACTCTCACAACACCTAACTTGTTTAGTGCGATCTCACATTGATCAAGCGCCTGTAACATTGACATATAGCTTGTAACTTACAGAAGCCGCACTTTCTTTCTTTAATAAAGACAAAAGTGTTCGCTATCTGTTCTAAAATAAATGCAACATTTCCTTTTTGGAAAATATCATTCCAAGATTACCACGTGGCACATTAGCAATCTTACAAAATTTGATCTCATTGATTATGGTCTACAAGATTCTCCTATTTAGTCGGCATTTAAGGGCAGTTTAGACGTTCTACTAAGAGTCAAACATGCTCGCATAACTCCCTAACCTTGCAAGTACTTATTTTGAGATGATCGGAATACACGATAACCTCAAAGTTACAAACTTTTGTTCCAAGATTACTACTTCAGCCCATTAGTAATCTTACAAAATATTGATTTCAACGATAATATTCCCCACAAGATTCACCTATTTTGTCGGTATTAAGGGTAATTTAGACATTCTACTAAGAGTAAAACACGTCCACATAATCACCTATTTTGATAAAACTTGCTATATTAGAGAGCTTCCAAGAAAGAAAACGTTGATGGAAGGAGTAGAAAGTGAACAGGAAATGGTAACCTGAGGGTGGCTTAATACGCGCTTCAGCTCCTCCTTTTTGACCCCGGGCACGCCCAAGAGACAGTGATTAACAACCATCTGCACTTCACCAACAATGTGCAGTCGATGGCGAAGGAGTAAATCATAATTTCGATGAATACTTCCACCTACAGAGTTCTCAATCGGGAGTACGGCTTTATCCACCAACCACAACTCGACAGCCTGATATTTAAAAATCCAATCAAGATTTTCAATCTCACACATACCCAAGAAAAAGGTAACCAAACAAACCCAGTATATCCCACCCGAAGGTAGTATCTTTGGGGGATTTTTTCCGTAAAAAAAGGTGATACCTTGAACACTGATTCAAATTGGTCACACGGGACTGTTTCACATTTTGGGTATGCTTTAAGAGCCGCAGCCTCGCTATATGCACCTGGCAGACCCTATCGTAACCCAAAAGACTGACATGTAAGAACAAAAAAGGGATTCCTTTAATAATACTTCATCCGTCCCAAAATAAGTGTCCACTTTTACAAGTAACGGACTACTTTCCAATTCTACCCTTAATTATGAGATGGAGAAATTCGTTCCTCCCTCTATTAAGGGTAAAATTGTCATTATAGTGTAATTACACATTTCTAAAACTGCATGTCTTTTTCATCGTAGACACTTATTTTCGGATGGAGGGAATACGAAATAATAGTGTATTATTACCTGATAAGCAACTCGGACCTTTGAGCCATCGTTACCAGAAGAGACAAGATCAGTAGCTGATAACGGCTCTGCATTATACACATTTCGTTTATCATACTTCTTTTACTTTCTATAAGTTGTCGTACATTGACTTCGGATGTCAAAAACTACTTCTAATGTTAAAATTGATATGATATAGTTAGGCAAAACCAATAACTACATCAAAAGATACAATAAGCGACATAAATACTAAAAGAATTTGCATTACAACTGCTTTTTTATATATGAATTCGGGATTTAAGGTCAAAAAAGGACAACTAATCCATCTCAACATAGTTAATTCAAGTAAAAACTGCGTGTATATCATTATACGCACGTAGATTGAAGGAAAAAAACAACAACAAAAGTCCTTCACGGCCAACAAGTCCTAAAACGACATCTTGAACTCTGAAATACCAGCCATGAATCAATAGATGAAACTATAAGAGCTAGAAACCGTACTCTCACAAATACTCCCTCCGTCCCAAAATAGATATCCACAATGAAAAAGGCACACAGTTTTAGAAATGTGTAATACTACGCTTTTTAGTTAATTAAATGACAAATTACCCTTAATACTAAAAGCAGTAATGAATTTCTCCATCTTACAGTTATGGGTAGAATTGGAAAGTAGGCGCTTATTTTGGAACTGAGGGAGTAACAAGAAAGGGCATTAAGCAATATCTAGCAAACCATGTTCAAAGTAGATGGTCCAATCCAATAATACCACAAAAGTGTTTCATGTATCGTAAAATTGAAGCACAAAACTACAACAAATCGAGACATATATCCATTAGTAGCATTTTTAGGTGGCTTTACATTTGTATAAAACTAAAAGTCCGAAGATTTTAACAAAAAGAAGTCGTAGACTACAATAGATTAGTGGTGGGATAGATGATCATACACAGAACCTGAATTGCAGGAAACAGAAACAGAACATGGGTGTCGAATAAACGCAGGATCATACACTTTTAAGTTTCTCAAAAATATTTTGTAGCCAAGTTACCATCGATTTCATTCGATCAACTTTTTCAGCTGCTTTTGATTGCAATTTTCTTTGTAAATATGCAAAAAAATGCCAAAGTACCAAGGATCTTGTTTGCATTCTATGACTATAATATTCTTATGGCACTTTTACAATGCAGTAAAAAGGCAGGCACAGGTTCAAACAATCAATCACTGTTTCCAGTAGCAGTCAGATGTGGTTAGTGGTATCTGTCTTGAAAAGTTCAGATTCCATATCAATTTAGAAGATGAAAAGTTAACAATTAAAGCAAAAATGGTAGCTATTTGTGGAATGGCTGGATGAACAAGCAAAGTTCACCACAAAATACCAACAATCTTGAGACAAATTTCCCAATAAAACCGAAACTAATCGAGCTAAAACACCACACTTTCTTAAGATAAAACCAGAAACTTTGAAACACGAAACGAAATCTCTGAAATGCAAGTTGACTTACTTGGTAAAGAATTCAAATCTTTATGAAACCCTTTCGATTCGGTGATCTGGGTGTCTTGAATCCTTTCATCTGTAGAAGTTGAACCCAAATCAGATGGACTCAAAGGCTTGTCATCTTCGACATGGGTTTGTGCCCTTTCGGGTTCAGCCAATTTCAAACCTAAGCATTCCCATTTCCTGAATTTCGAAAGATTAACCCTACAATTGGTGAAAGCAGGCGTTTTCTTCTTGTTTTGAACGAAATCGAAGAGACCCAATTGAGAAAGAGAGTGATTAACACAAACCCAGATTGGTACAGCCTTTAAAGCCATTTCTTTTTGTACCAATCTTCAAGATTCTTAGCAATGTTGCGAAATTGAAGTCTCATTTTCACAGAGGTACTTTTGTGAAACTTGAGGCCGATTCAAACGACATTATCAATTTGGGAATTTGTGTGTACGTATGATGGTTTTGTCTCTCGTACCCTCTTCAGCTGGAGCCTACAAATGGGGTTGAGCTACAAACTACACCTATATATATATATATATATATATATAGAGAGAGAGAGAGAGAGAGAGAGAGATGGGAGACAGAAAAGGGGGGTGGCAGATAAACCTTGGACTCGCGGAGAGGGGAGTAGGTGAGGAGAGAGAGAGAGAGAGAGAGAGAGAGAGAGAGAGGGAGGGAGAGAGATGGCAGCATGTATGCACGTATTATTGTATTTATAGCACGTATATGCGGTGTAATTGAGTTTGTGTCTTGAAGTATTATCCTAAAAAAATAATGCTAAAAAGACAATTATGCCCTTGGTTTATCGGCTGCGATTTAAGGATTGTTCGGTTCGTCTTATGTTGTCGTTCACAACGGCTTCCTTCTCTTCAAGCTTTTAAAAKCAGTCGATTTCATGTGTTTTAGGTTTTCAAAGCAATTCATTAGCAACTATTGTAGTTTGATTCTTGAGTTTGCTCTGTTTTTTCGATTTAATAAACTGAAATATGTTCCGTAAATGTTCGCAGCTCACATAGGGAAAGGAGAGAAGCAGATTGGTCAGCTTCAATTTGTGAACAAGAGTCGCTTTCGAAAGAGAAATGGAGATGTAGATAAACGTGTCAAGATTGAAAGAGAGGGGAGAGTAGAAGGGGAATTGATGGGTGAATAAACAGACGAGTGTATATATGAATCTATAAGTTATTGTCTTACTGAATAAGCTACAAACGAACACCCATGTATGGCTTATAGAATAAGTTATACCAACCATTAAGCCCAATAAGTCGTTACCAAACAGCCCTTGGTATATATCTGTTATAAAACGCTAGAAGTGTATTTGTACGATGAATACGATACATTTATATTTTGTTTCTCTCGATTTTATTTGATGAATTTGTATGGTTTTGAGAGATCGAATGATTATTTTGTTGGTTATAGGTTTTATGCAGTATTTTGTTGTATTAGTAGGGTTCGACGTTTATTTTGTATTTGCACATGTTTGTGAGTCGGTAGTTAGGTTTGGAGTCAATTATAGATTTCGTCTTCTTGTTATATGAAAATTACGGAATTGGGTTCCCAAACGAAATAATTTACAAACATGGTCATTATGGTTTCAGTTACGTCATGGATTAGGTCCTACCTCTAATTTCGTTAACATAGCTCCGTTAAATCATGGTCCTTTTTGATTATTTTACTTTTTATTTTCTTTCTTCTAAAAAGAAATAAATATATAATTTATATAATATAATATATGTGTTATATATAATTATTTACATACCGACACAAAATACACTTCGAGGCTCCCCTTTGCTCTGTCGACAAAGCAGATCGGATTAGATAAAAAGCGGCCCACGACATCATTTGTGGGACTAGAAGATCCTTTTACTGACCAAGTAAAGATCCCAATCAGGGGGTAAGTGAGTCGAGCTTTTAACGAGCTATTCGAGCTCGAACTTAATAATTCTCGATCTCGAGTTGATCTCGAGCACAAAATAGAACTCATTTAACTTAACGGGCCGAGATTCATAACACCAATGTTCGACTCGGCTCGTTCGAAAACTCGATTAAGTTTTTCGAGTCGAGTCATTCGAGCAAACATTTTTTCGAGCCAAACATGCTCACATATTCATAAATCATGTAATAAAAACATAAAAATTATAACCTCGAGCCTATAAACTAGTTAATCGATCATTAGTTCAAGCACATAAACGAGCATCAAACTCGACCTCTCCAAAACATATTCAAGCTCGAGCCCTAAATTGAAAAGTTATTCGAGCTCGAGCTTAATACCTTTTTCGCGCCCAACTCGAATAACCTACTACTCAACTCGACTCGCCTCCTTTATACCTCTACTCCCACTGATCCACACACGATTTAATTCAGTATGGTTGTATGTTTTTTTCCTTAAATGAAATTATTTTCTTTTTTAACTGAAGCAAAACGAAAAAGATCTGGACCAAACCTTTTCGGACCAAACCAGTATTTTACCAGGCAAAATCACCGGGTAATTAGGTCTTCACCTTACCAGATACAAACCATTTGGAATTCATTGACCAGATTTTGATTAGATCAACAGTCGATTCTATATAATTAAAATATGTGAGAATTGATTTTACTTACAGATAAATCGTTGTTTATATGTGACTTTACAAGAGTATTCTAGATACAAGATCGTGACACTATACCCTTCACGTCATACATAGTCTTAATGCCCAAATATTGGAAAACGACGTTTCATGCGTTAGGTGGAAAGAGTTATAATACGCAGTTGCTTTTAGACACTATATACACATAGCTGTATAATAATTATAATTGACTAGTTAAACACTGATAAAAAACATTTGACTATCAATATAATAAATAATAAAATATAGAAATATTTTAAACCTAAACAAATAATATCATAATTTCACACCAACTATGATGGATGAGTAAATAGTTTTAAATTGAAAGCCTATTAAGGAGGTGTTTGAGATTGTTTATAGAAACAACTTATTGATTTATTCCAGTGTGATACAGGTAATAAGCACTTTTGAGTGTTTGGATAAACAACTTATACCGATGCCAAACCGGTAATAAGGAGTTTTTGAAGAAGTTAAAATTTTTCTGACTTATAATAAGTTGATAAGTGCTTTTATAGAAAAACATAAGTTGTTTCAAATAAGCAAATTCCAAACACCCCCTAAATCAAAAAAATGTTAATTTAAAAAAATATGGACAAATATAGTAAAAAGATTTATTTTATAAAATAAAACAAATTTAGTATCTCTCAATAAAAAAAACATGGTTTGAATATAAGATTTACACAAACTTTTCTTTTATCCAAAGTACTTTTGAGCTTGGACTCCAAAGGTCAAAAGTGTCTGCAGGTCCGAGGTTTGAATATAAGGAGGAATAAAAATTTACTTGTAACCACGGAGGTTCAAATGTTGTTCAGGGTGGTCGTCATAGGATTAGTTGGATCGCACAGCGAGTTAGATATTCAGATTAATAATAAAAAAAAGGAGTGCTAATGGCACCCCTTAATAGGGGTGTCAAATGCTTTAGAACTTAAATCTGATTAAAAAACATAAAATGTCAAAATCAATCAAATAATATAATATATTTTATTATTATTACTTTTTATATTAATATACATATCCTATAATTACTAAAAGCGTACTCGCGCAATGCAGCGAGATACATCATGATTTTAATATTTCATTTTATTCTTTATCTCAGTCGAT